GACTCTGAAATGAATTAATAGTTCTGTGCATCTCAATACCACAGAGATTCTTGATGCTTCTTATTTATTAAGAGTAAGGGACTAACTGCATCTGAGGTTATTTGCAACTTTAATTTTGGAAAAATCCTGCTAGAACTGAAACCATCAGAATCTGAGGTGTCAGGAGCCTGTTGTTTGTGAGGAAAACAATGTCTGAGTTGTGTCCAGGGCTGAGTTGGGCAAGTTGTAAATTCAATACAGGTTTGTACTCCTTTGTGGGAAAGGTCTTGCTCATTTGTACTCTGCCATTTGAGTCTGGGGGAGCTGCTCCCAGTGAACTCCAGGGGAGTTACTTGAGTGTGGCTGAAAACAGCACTTTTCTTTTGCTGTGTTTGTTGMATTAATTTGTCTTTTTCTAGGGCATTACCTGTGTTGTCCAAGAGAAGTTTGGGACAACAGGCARCTTGGACTTGCAGGACACATTTTGTAGCTGACTGATTTCTCTGTGTACAGAATTGAGCCAGTGGTGGAGAATTAAAATMATTTCTTCAACCCTTACTAAACCCTGTAATCACTTAAAGTTTATACATGAGCATTTATTTTAAAATGCAGTTTTATTTCAGTATGTTCCTGGAAGGTTTTGCAGCAGTGACTCAAAGCACTTTACATTCTGTGTACAGCACTGACATTTAAAATGCTATAAAAAGAATTCATCCCTCTTCCCTTGCATTGCTGGAGAAATGTTAAATTATGCAAATACACCTATTGTCCTGGTTTTTTCATGTTTATACACTTCCTGGTTTTGTCAGGTAATTTTTGAATTCATGTGTTTTCCCCTCACCTTTTGAAGCAAAATCACTTTATGTACAATTTCTTAACCTCAGCATTTCAAGGGTGAACTGCTTTGGGTAATCTAGAAACTGTTTCACTTCTGTGGGCTTGATATGTGGGAAGAGGAATTACTTTTCTTACAGTTCTGATTTCCTTAGTCTTTACCAAAATGTGGTTTTTTAATCATTATATTGAGAATTTAATTCCTTTTGTATTTATTTTGTTATCACAAAATATGATGGAGCACACAGACTTTTTTAGAAAGCTAAAAAATAGTTTGAGTGTCTGAGTGAGTTGGAGGGAAAATGGCTGTTTATTATAAATACATGACATGGAAAAGCAGCTTCTCCCAGAAAGGCAGATAAGGGTAAAATATCCCTCTGTGATGTTGTATCAAAAATGCACAACAAAAGGAATAGCAGATTATTGTCTGTTTTGGAAATGTTTTTGTATGTCATGGCTTACAAAGRAGGAGTTCAATAGTTCATCCATTTAAGAGAAGAAAACAGCTGGTTGTCAGTTCTCTCTGGAATTCTGTGGGCATTATTTTCCAAAATACCAGACTGAATTGTGGTTATTTGGAGTGATAGGGGAAGAGCAGCAAAGCCAAGCTGTCGTGGCAGTTGGATTGGCATAAACTGCTCCTGCTCTTCCAGTAAGCAAATCCACAAATGGGTGCAGCTCAGGGAGAGCAAATACTTTATTAATGATTTTCTGGCAGATGAGGGGCCTGATCCTGTTCATCTCTTTACCATTGCTCTGGGATGCASTGAATGGATTTCAGCTCATCACAGGCCTCATAACAGAAAAAATATGCAAGCATAATCAAAGCATCATTTCTCTATAAAAAAGACTTTGCTTTCTCCTCACACTCAGCATTCACCAGACATATTCTGCAGCTGAAAGCTGGGTAGCAGCATCAGCTTTCTGGTTGTATTCCAAACCTCTGCTGTGGATGAAAGTTGAGTTGTTTTTTGTTACTAAACTAAAGACAGGACACATTTAATTGTGATGAGTATATCAGGTATGTGATGTATTTTTCAGCCATTTTATTCTAATGGTTCCTTTAAAYAGGTTGTTCATTGCAGGTGGAAACCACTGGCCTTACACATTTCTCTSATGTTTTTACACAGAACAGGAAACTGGAGAGCCACAGTTCTCTTCAAACCATTCTGTAGTATATTTGTGGATAATCTGATAATGTTTCAGGCAGGAAACTGAAACTACTCCACGATGAGTGCYCAGGTGCAGCTTTAGCAAACAAGTCTGAGATGGCTGTCCAAAGCAGAGTTGTATCCTCACACCTTTGGTTTTCTGAGAATTTGATTCCTTGGTGRAAATGAGTTGTCAGAGCCTGCAGAWAAAGCCTGGTGAGTACCTGGTGTGTTGGGGTTACAGAGCTGTGTGCAGTCTTTGCTCAGAGACTGTGGAATTTGAAGGTGCCATACATGTTGAGATTACATAGAGAGATATATTTGGCCCTCACTCCAGAATTCTAGAGGGATTCTGCTTGCYTATTAATGAGCCTTTATTAGTGCTTTAATTTTAGACTGTGATCTCTGGTTTTGCAGAGATCTGGTACTCTCCAATGCAGTTACAGGCATTTAGWTCAGGGAATATAACAATTAGCCCTTAATAAGCAGCTGACCTCATTCCCTCCCTCAATCACATGCTCTGCACCCGAGAAGAAAAGATCACAAAGCCAAGAATTGAAGTTCAGCCTATGTTAAATCAGTGATGGAAGTGAAATAGAATAGGACACAAGGCAAGAAATTTGTCATCATGCAGTTGTGCTGTGAAGTGTTGGTGTGTCTGAGGTGCTGGTCTGGGCAAAGTGCCCCTATTTGCTTGAAATTCTGGAGTTTAAACCACATATTTCATTACTAACTTTTAATTCTTTCCTGCTTTATGACAGGAAAGACAAGAACTGATGGGAAAGGGACAGAATTTCATGAAACTGTACAGAGACTTGGGTAAGSGCTAAAAGGCTGAATTTACCAGTCTAAAAGCAGCACACATTCATGGTAGGGTTAGAAATTGCCTAAATAATGCATTTCCTCCTGTCACGTGCTGATAACACCTGAAATACAAGCAATATTTCTAATTCTGATTTCTAGATCATGGGAATTGTGGAATTGAGACTGAGATAAAGGAGGGACTAAGGATTGCTGGCCATTATCAGTGTTCTCTATTGAATCGAGGTGCTGCTTCTTTTTCTGCTACTGCTGATTACAGAGAGATTTTTGATTAACTAGGACTTTTTTTTTTTTTCCCCCTTTCAGTAACTGTCTTCCTCATTAAGCCTCTTTGTGTGGTGATTCTTTCCTCCTTGCTTTTCAGGAGCTCAGTGATGTGGAAASTGATCCATCCAGGGCAGAAGCAGGCAGGATTTCTGATTCAGCAAGCCTTATTCCCTCATTTAGTTCTCAGTGGTAAGAAAATCTCAAAGGCTGTGCCTGCCATGGTCATTGCAAGTTCCATAAACATACCACAACCTAATATATTTTTAAAACCAAGATCTGCAGTCTCTATTTAGTGACCTTAGGAGGGCTTAAACTCAGTATAAAYCTACAATTTCAAATTAAACAGCTTTAGGTGGTTAAAGTGTCCTTTGGAAGTTGGCCAAGAGGAGGCAGGGACATRTAATACTGGGTGTTTGGGAGAAAATAGATCAGGTAAATCCTTGGAGCCTGATAAATTCATGTCCAAAGTCTTCTCTGCACTTCCATGTGGATAAACTGTTGGGATGAAATATTTTAGAGGACCTTTTCAGTGCTCAGAGCTTCCCTCATTCTCACCCACCCTTCTGGGGGTGGATGTAGGCTCTAATCATCCTCAAATTCACCTTGAGGTAAAAATAGGGATATTTCCTGCTCTCTGTATTTAGAGTTTGGTGTAATACGTCCACAATGCCTCATTATTTGAGCTGTGGGGAGAGGTTTCTTTGCTCTGTGCTGTCAGTGGGCTCATCCATGTGATGCTTTAGAGCTGGGGGTTTGCAGGGAGAGGAGGAGGAGGAGGAGGGGGAAGATGAAGCTGTTTATTTCAGCATCTCTTACCACATACTCTTGCACTGAGTACCTTGGCAACCCACTGAGCATCACGTTCTCCTCACGTGGCTGTACTCCAGCTGGGGGACTTGTTCTGCTTAAACTGCAGTTCATCATTTAAAGAAATGTTTAAAAATAAGGTGTGAGTTGGTGTGAGTTTGCTCAGCGCTGTCTGAACGTGGAGCTGCTGGAACCATCTGAGGAATGCACCTCGCTGTGATGAGTTGGGTGCTGAATAACAACTTCCTGTCATTGCTGAGCTTTACTTTTGGCACTGGTGCTGGGCACAAAGGTGCAGAAAGAAGGGGCAGGAGAGCAGCTGAGCTGGAGCAAGTTCCACACGGTGATGCAGTGATGGTGAGCTCTGAGAAACGCTCCCTTTTCCCGTGGTGGCTTCCATGTGGAAGCCCTGCTGAGGCTGTGAAGGTGAAGAGGTGCTCATGGGGCAGTGTCCCCCACCTKGCCTGGCCAAATCCTGCAGCCCTGAGCTCAGGAGGGGCTGTACTGACAGCACTGGCTCTGTGTGCCAAGGACTGGCTCTAAATCGGGCTGTGGGAATTGCTGCAATGGGAGATAACGGAGTGTGGAGCCCGGCTCTGACAGCTCAGCCTTCCATAGTAGGAAGCAGCCAGCAGCAGCTCAGCTGAATTAAAACACCCTCCACCATCCTATGGATATGCAGCACCATGGAATTCAACCCTTGTATTTTTAAACCTGTCCCTGTTGTGTTTGAAGGGTCTCAGGCTGTCACCTCATCTGGATAACGCTGTTGCCATTGGGGTGTTGCTATCGGGCTGGAGGCTAAGAGGCATTACACTTAATGTAAAACACATTCCTGAGTTGTCTCTTACTCCAAACAAAATCCAGTGTTTGGGCTTTGGAGCAGAGCATTACAGGACAGTTGGAAAATCCAGCTTTTACCYTGGGAGTGCTTTAGCCTTGCCCAGCAGCAACTTTGTGAGCTTGTGGCAGAAGAGCCCTGGGTTTGGGGAAGAGTGAGCCCAAACTGCCAAGCACTCCCAGCAGGATGCTCGTGGTGTGGTTTGGAGCAAAYACTTTGGCTCATCTTCCTTTTGCCTATGGAGCTACTTTAGGCTGGGGCAATTTAAAAAACAGAAAAGGACAAAAAAAATAAAGATGTAGTTGGGAAAGAATTGTTTATTTTACGTTTCTCAGAGGGATTTTACAAACAATGGAGCATTTTAAAAAAACTGAGTGATCAAAGTACTTGACAGTGTCCCTTAAACACACACACAAGCCCCTGGACAGAGGAAATCACACCAGCGAGGAGGTCAATACTGCCGAGGAGCAGCTGCATCTGCATAGTTCTAGGAGGAAAGATTGCAATGGTGTTGGTGCTAAAAAGTGTCATTARATCCTGGCATTAAAATAAGAGCGCGCTGCAGTGCCTACGCACGGACCTGCAGGAAACAAAGTGCATCAAATAACACGCCGAGTATGTATTGTAGAATAAATTTATTTACCTGATACAAATGAAACTAGGTGTGATGCTCCTTACTGTCAGCATGTCAATAGACAATTGATCTTATTTACAACTTCTAAAGGTCACACATGCAGCTGTGGGAACTGGCTACGTCGTTGTTGCTTTTTAGATAAATGCATCACGATATTTTGTATTGCACCAACATCTGTCTTACTGCCTTAAATAAGTTACATTACAGTGCAAAAGAGGTTGATTTGCACAGATGATAAAAAAATCCAACGGTATGAAGTGGAGGCTTGCGGTTTAACATTCATCTGTAATCGTTTCCATGGATTTATAAATAGGAGAGCATTGTACAGAAGCTGTTGGAGTAGGATGTTTGGATGATACAATACAGAGAGAGATCCGTCTACAACCCAAGGCATGCATTATCTGATATTGTACATTGTARAAACTGACATTTTACATACAGGAATATGGAAATTGGCTGACAGCTCCGCAATTCTTGTTCAAGGATAACCAAACTCTTCTCCATGCAGCACAGAAACCCAACTTCTCTGGAGAGAGTTCCGACTTGGCAAGCTATATTGCACGTTTGTACATCTGTATCATGAAGTCCTAATGGTACCACACATTTCTTCCACAGAGAACACAATGAGTTTTGTTTTTAGGGAAAGCAAAGAATCTTTACACGATACATGCAGAAGTTTTGGTAGATGTGTTGCTAAAAACACATGCACGCAACAAAACAACCTTACATTTCTGCAAAATTGTTTAGGAAGCGATTACTCCAGTATTGCTGAAAAGGAAAGAAAGAAAAGGCRTCAGTTAATGAAAGGATGAATGCTAAGTATCATTATACAAGCAAGACTAAGATCAACAGTGACAGAAGAAAGAATGTTAAGTTTGCTAACTGGCTGCTCTGTCATTGAAGGGACACTCTCAGGTTACTTTGTTCTTGAAGCTCAGAATCCTCTGGATTAAGGCTCAGCTTCCTTGATTATCAGCAGAGCCAGCACTTCCTACCCAAGACAAGTGAAGAACAATTAAGACAYGTTTAATTAGCATTTGCCTTTCTCTGCCTGACCAGTGGCAACAGACAATTCTCACTTCTTTGGAATTTTTACTTTCAAGTTCCATATTATGCGCTTGTTTTTTTTTTCAGTCGAGGCATTACGACAAGTTTGGCCCCAAAGTGACCTAACAATGTCCCTTTTCCAAGTTAGGCAGCTTGTTCTGGGAAGCAGTAGGAAAGCTTTGAAGAAGTCATTAAACTACACGGATTAATGTGTAGGCAAAGGGTAGAGTACAACGTCCTAAAGCTCCTGCTGTACTTCACCCCTACCACAGCATAAGGTCAGCCTCGTGTCTGGAGAGACTGCTCTGAGTCCCTACAGCTCCGTGGAAGCTCTTCCAAACACTGCTTCAACACTAAAATTTGGGCTCTCCTGCTAAGATTTGAAAATGCATATTAATGCAATTAAGGATGTAATTAGCAGAGATTAGGGAAACAGTTAATGGTTAGAAGTGCAAAAAAGTAAACAAGACAGGTGCAAGAGACAGACGACTCTGTATCAGTTTTACCTCCCTTCACCTCAGCAAATTCAGCCTCCTTTGGGCTGTTTACCATCAACCCTGGGCCCGAGCTGTGTTCTCGGGCCGGCACTGCTGTACTGCATTCTATCATCAGATTAAAAACTCAGTTTCGTACCAGGAACCTCCCCAACAGCCTCTCTACCAACACAAGCCTCKGAGCACTTTGACAGACTGGTAGAAATGTGTTTCTGCAGCCTCTTTCACACTCATTTTATTTGCAATAATGTTTTGGGAAACCAAGTATGAACTATTTTTATTGCTCGGATGCCAGCAAGAAGGAGCAGCTCGTTGTGTAGCTCAGCACTTTGGAGCACTCACACGTGAAAGCAGAGAGAGCCCAAGGCACTGCAAAGACAAAAAGCTCCTGGCTAAAAATTCAATGCATGACTGCAGCTGCCTGAGCATCCTCCTTGCTAGAGAACATTCAGGAGGAGCTGCTCTCATTCCAGACCCACTGGGGTCCCAGCACAAGCCAATATCCTTCCTGGTGTTCCCAGCATAAGGCAGCATCAATCACACGATTGATCCTGGTCTTACACACCCCTCTCACAGTAGAGAATAAGCAGTGATGTGTGAGGGCACCAAGGAATCCAGAAAATAGCAGARATGAAAAAGCTCGGTGAGATGGGAGCAAAGAGAAACAAAAAAAAAAATGAAGTTATTTTGTAAGAATGGAGTGGGAGATAAAGCCTGGGGGATTCTGAATTCTGCTTGTGACTAAGTGCTGCTTTTGGTATCTTCTCTGGGCTAACGGTTCAACAGGAGTTACCTACTTCAACCCCAGCACTGAGAGGTCAGAAATACTTGGGGCCAAAGAAATTAAAAGAGAGTTCTGATTTTTGAGATGTTAGCAAACGAGTCTGTCCTGAAAAGGCCTCCCTGACTTCTGCAGCTGAAAGGACTGAGGCTGAAGGATGACAGGATCTATACAGCTAAGGATAAACACTTTAGTTCAGACATTTCCTGCAGACATTACAAACTTTGCACTGMAGTTCTGTACTTTCTGTAACAGGAAAGTTCTCAGCTGCCTCACGCTCCTCCTGCAGCCTCCCCCAGCCTGCTCAGCTGCCTGGGCTGGAGCCCAGAGCCAGCACTCCCAGGTCCAGGATCACAAGGATGTGATTTCCAGGGCAGGATGCTTCACTGCCCAGGAGGAACCTCATTTACAACACTTGGAAAACAGAAGTCCTGAAAGAACAGCAGCCAGCCAAGATCTGCAACTGCTGTTCTTGGGCAACCCTATTGCTCCATTTCTGCAGGAAAACTTGGACAAGACTGGGAGAAAKAGAAGAGAAACAGGGTAGATGAAGATTGCTTGGCTCTGTAGGAGCACCTTATAAAACCTGACTGTTCCTGCAAGCTCAGGAGCTGATAGGGATGGACCCCACTCCCTGTGCCCACCACTCGTCAGCTTTCAAGGCAAACTCCAAGGGACACGAGGCCCTACCCCAAGTGCCTCTGAGAGAGTGGCACGAACAAGCTCACAGATGCCTACAGAAATCCGTGACAAGCAACAAGATTCATCTTCAACACTGACAGATCCAACAGAGAGGGTGTTGAAGACTGAATTCTACTTAYTGACAGTCATTTTTCCCTTCAGCTTGTTAAGAGGGGGGAAAAAGGATGTATAGCAGGATTATTTGGCATAAAAAACAGGAATAGGATTGTACAAGAAGCAGAATTATTCAGGTGGCAGTCAGAYATGTGGCTTTAAAAAGGCCACCAAMATGGTGCTCTGAGGTTCAGCAGAACCCGTGTTCAAGGATTTTGTGGCATTCCTGCCCTGGAAATGTCTGTCAGCAGCAGTGGGAGCACRCAGAACTAAGCTGCTAATTTGTTTCCAGCAAATAACATACTGGTATATGCTTTGATCTCAAGGAGTCCTAGATCACAGGAACTATTATTTTTTGTTTCAAGGAACAGAGATGAGGCTCATGCTGCTCATTTGTTATTGACACAGCAAATGGCTGGTGCAGGCCAGCAGTTCTGTGGAATGCAAAACCTTAGTTTGGCTCCTCCACACTAAAAAAGGGCATTCAGGGSGATTTGAATGCTCACAGTTTGGCAACACACCTACTACATCATCAGGTCAGCTCCTCTGAGCCACTTCAGCATCAACTCAAACAAGTCAAAGTCTCTATAAACAAAGTATCACAAAGCAGTGGAATGTCTGATAGAGCCTCTGTGTTCTGAGGAAGCATCTCCACTCCAGAGCTTAAACCTAGAGAATTATGTGTGCTCGCTGGATTCCAGCTGGCACCAACAGAACAGAGCCTGGAACAATCCTTCCCCTCTAAGAGGGATCACAGAGCTGTTTGAATTTGGTTACTAAAGCAGACTGAGCCAGCACAAGATAACAGCACCTGCTGCTCCACAGACACTGTGACCCCAGGGCACATTTCAAAGAGTGCCCTGTTAAGCTGGGACTGTTCTCTTGCCTTCTCAGATGGCAAATAACAAATAATGAGCTGTTTTTGCCAGGAGCAGCACCTGCCCTTGGAGCACTGCAGGTACCAGGGACGAGGGAAGGGTGCTCAGCTCCAAGGGGCAGCCCCTGTTTCAGAGCAGGRAAAAGCTTTGGACTAAACCAGCACCTGACCATGAGTACCAGAGAGTTTTGGACACTAAACATTCACGGTAACAGCTGTCAGGGTCTTAAGTTACAGATTTGTCTGATTTTATCTCAAACTTAAGACCAAAAGCTGTGAGACCTCGGGGCGCTAAGGCTCCCAGGTGCTATAAAACAAGACCCTAAAATACACTAAACCAAAAGCAAGTGCTTTGCCTTTGGAATCGGTAATTTGAGCTTCAGACCACAAAACAAGAGTCTAAAGTGGTGATAATAATGTAGCACAGCAGAGTTTGACAAAACACAGCATGGGAATGAAGGAAATTACTATTTATTCTTCAACATGTATACAGCATATGCTATTTTACAGCAAGTCACCACTGGCAGGGTGAAATGGAAGAAAAATACTCACTTTAGTCGATGAAAGTTGGAAGGCATTGGAGAAAAACACCACAGTTAGGACTGTTAATGACTTACACATTGTTGATACAGGACTGAATTTGAAAACATGCTTTAACATTTACCGTAATAATGAAGGTGGTTAGTGCCACATTAAAATAAAAATAGTTCTATACAATATGTTCAATTTGGTCATGTGCTATTTACAGATTTTACAAAAAACACACACGAGCTTGTTACTTCAAGTCAGGCTAACAACAGGCCAGCAGAGTAACTCCATGTATACAACTGAGCATTAGTGCCCTAAGTGTAGGAAATCCAATTTCTAGCTATGCAGTGCAAGTTATTTTTTCAGGTCTCATTGCAAATTTTGATTTTAAAGGGGAGAAAAAAAAAAAAAGAAAAAGAAAGGCTCTGACACGTGTGAAAAAGGTATTAAACCCCAACTTAAACCCTCTTGAATTGAAACAGATTGTGTGWGTTAAAAAGGCTTTAGATTTAAGGAGACAGAAGTAGCCCTCCCTATCCCTGCATAACGGGCAACACTGGCAAAATAAGGTCTGTTACAATAAAATACAATAGACAAATAAATAATCTTTAAAAAAAAACAACCCTATGTGTGTTGAGAGTATGGAAGAACCCCAGCAGGCTGCACCTGGAATGATATTTTCTGCACGAGCGAGATCAGGCATACCTCATACAGAAAGTGGTGTAAACAAGGACAGTCAAGAACCGAGAGTGAGGGAAGAGGGGACCGAGAAGAAATCCTGACCCAGGGAGCAGGACTGTCTACCCAGTGCAGAAAGTTCTGCTCGTGAACAAAACCTGACTTTATGACAAATTAAGTTTGGATGATCATGCAGAAGACAAACAGTTACATGCTTTTTTAGTTTTAGACAACACACATTCATTCCCTAAAATCTGCTGCCAATTTAGTTTGATAGTGTCCGCTGGCTCAAAAAAAATTTACTTTTTTTTACATGATGAATAGACTATTGAACAGAACACTGTACATGCTTTTCATCTACAAAAAAATATTTGCATAAAATAGTGTTAGTTCTCTGTACATGTCAATGGACACTTTAACTGTGTATAAAAGAGGAATATATTGCCCCCACTGAAGTCAGAAAAAGCAAAAAACCAAAATCTAGATTATGAAACCTCCATCACCGGCAAATATGTTCATGTGAAAATTCAGCAGAAATAGACAGTTGCTCTAAACAATAAAAAAATTAAGTTAAACTTTTTTTTTTTTCCTTTGAATGTAAAACTCGTCACCATGTCAGTCAAGACCAGAACATATCACTAAAGTTAGTGTCTGTGCTGTAAAGCCAGATAACCAGGGGCATAGTAATGAACACAAACGGCCAGGAAACTCCTTCGGTGCATGCTGACAGAGCACAGGGTTTGGTGGCAGGCCGCACACTATCATCTTTACCAGGTTCCAGGTAGTTACGGGCCACATATTTAAGTGTTTCATCCAGCAGAATGACGGGGAGGGAGATTTTCAATACCATCAGCCACTGTGTCAAGTTCAGAGGTGTGATCTGGAAGATAATCTGCAAGAAAAGCCAGGGGTTACCGAGCTCCCCCTCCAGCCCTGGCATCAAACCCCACAAGGTTTTGTTCTGTCAGTTCAGGGATCAGGGAAGGCACGAGCACTTACTGGCAGTGGTTCCACATAAAGGATAAGGAAGTGGAGGGACATGGACAAGCAAATGGCCCCCACCAGCCAGATGTTCTCCCACGGGGGCATCCTCATCAGGGACTGGTTTTCTGACAGGCTGCAATGAAAACACAGCTGGTGTGTGACTGTAACACCAACAGGAAACTCTGAGAACCACAGAGCAGCCTGGCAAGGCACAGGGATGGGATGGCAGGCAGGAAACAGCCCAGGATAGGCTTTGGGTGTTGGCTGCARCTCCAAACTGGCCTGGGAGTCAGCTTAGCAAAGCAGGCACCATCAGCCTCAGGTTTATTCATGAAGGTCTCAGGTGTTCTGCTCATTCCTGATCAGTTCTTTTCACTGTGACCCCAAAATCCTCTCCATGGGGGAAAGGGAAGTGTGGACATGGCGGCCTAGGACAGAATCCCCCTGAATCTAGCAGGGCCCCAAATGCACCAACTTCTGCTGAACTTCTCTGAATGACTGCCAGGGGGTCAAGAACTTGCACCTTCTTAATGCTGGCTCTTGATCCCATCTGCATTTAGAAGAGGCTGAGATCCAGAGCAGGAGATGTAGAGCAGTATCTTTATGTAGGACTACYCCAGTACACTTGTATTTCAAGTTTATTTGTTTTTAAATTAACTGACCTCTAAGCTATTTGAAGAAAAATACCCTTGACATTGTGCTATTTAGTGGTTTCCATTTATAATCTAATATTAATTGGCTAAACCCACACTCCCTTAGGGCAGGAAAAACTATTTTCCATATCTTCAGCATTCTTATTTTAGTTCTCCTTGATATCACTTTATACCAACATAGGAGGGATAATCTGATTGATTAAGCTTAGATTAAAATAATGGAAAATATTTCAGTTGCTTGTGCTTTGTAAAATACCAGAMTAAATTGCAGACTTAAAAATACACCTTATGATAAGAGATCTCAAATGTTATCTAAGAGTCAAACTTGTTTTCACTACCACAACTCAGAAGGGAAATGTGACTCACTCTTCATTAGCTGAGCTGTCCACCAAGGATCAAATTGCACAAAAAGCAGCATTTTGGATAAGCCATGCAGAGGGGACATACGAACCTGTTGAGAGCATTGCACATCTCTATGGTGACAAGCACAGACAGAGCCATTGTCATCGGGTACGGGGACTCAAACACCACGCAGTCGACCCCAAAGAAGTCTGGATTGTCCTCCTTGCACTGCAGAAAATGGCTCTGGAACAGAACAGAATCAACTCACTTCCACAGCTTGTTAACTTTTAATATGTAAAACAGGCAACTAGGAAAAAAACTGTATTACAGAAACAAAAGTTTCTATTATGACTCCTAAAACCAGTGCTTAGAAACTTTTGCCTGCTTTAGAAAAATCTTCTTTAGGATTTCACTTACAAGACAACAATTAGTCCTTCAAATTGTTAGAAGCTCAGGTATCCAGCCTCTGAGCTTTACTATCAAGACTAATTAATCATGATGAAAAAAATGTTTAATTACATAAATTCCCATAACCTACCAGGTTTGTACAGTCATTTCAAGTACGAAAGCAGCAGGAACCACCCCTCTCCCCCCACAGATATTAAACTGAGCAAATACCAGCTGGTAAAAGGAAACTCTTGGACCACCATCAGCAGCAATAAACCACCAAGCAGCAGCACCCACTGTGGCAGCACCGACGTAACCTGAAAGAGAGAAAAGAGCTTCTCAGTGCTGTGAAATGCAAGACAACACCTCACTCGTCACGCTTGAACTTCAGCCTCAAGACTTCAAATACTGAAATAAAACAGGTTTTAATTCATGTCTTAGTTTATTTAAGGAAAAAAGAAAGCCATTAGTACTTACATCCAATAGCCAGGTAACGGAAGAAGAGCCACCCACTGATGAGGGGCTCTTTGGGGTTGCGCGGTGGTTTATTCATGATATCRAGATCAGGAGGGTTAAAGCCCAGGGCAGTGGCAGGGAGACCATCCGTCACAAGGTTTACCCACAGCAGCTGAACAGGAATTAGAGCTTCAGGAAAACCCAGGGCAGCAGTCAGGAAGATACTACAAAGAAACCCACCAGTTACAAGCTTGTTCTGGTGCATGTCAGTAAAGTTTAAACCTAAGCCTGTAGCAGCACTTCTGTTCTCTCTCACCCACTGAAGATCACAAGCTGAATATTCACAATCAGAAAACTAAACACATATCCAAGAGCAAAGACTAACCACTGGCATGTAAGCTTTGAAGCATTGTCTTCTTTTGGTAACTTCAAAAATTGAAGATTTTTCACTTTAAGGTTGTTTTTTCCTCACTCTACTAGTCTGTACAGGTAAATATATATATATATATATATATATATATGGATAAAGGCTTGACTTTCTAAAAGACACATTTTAGCTCAAATGACTAAGCTTCATTTCTCTAGATTACTGCTAGTCCTTGCAGAAGTTTAATGAGCCAGTAATTTTCATGGCTCCAAGCCTKTGTGAATAAATAAAACAGAAACAGGGACTGCAGCAAGAGCCCTATGAAGGACAGCCTTAAAGCTGACAAGAAACAAGGCAAGACAATTGCTGTGGTTTATCCCCTCTGGGAGAAAGTCTGCTTTGATGTGAGGACTCTGAGGACATCAATATTTACATTCTGTCACCAGAAATGCATTCTGTGGTGCTGGGTCACCACTGCTCCTCCCAGAGGAACACACGACATGTTCCTGTAACTTGAGGTTAAACAAACATCCAAGCTACGTCTGTGACTACGTTATCTGAAATTCCAGATCTTGTACTGTTTGATTAAGGTTTTGGTTTTCCTTCTCTAGAGAATTATTCCAATCATAGAAACAATTGGAAAGTATTACCTACTGAGCTAGAATATTCTGTGTAACACAAGGTGCAACTTCTGTGCCAAGCTACAATTCTTCACTAAAGAAACATGCTGGCCAGAAATATGCAACTTCCACAGTGATCCATTACCTGGAGAACCTGCTCCTCTGGTTTTAGTGAGAAATACTGGAAGACTCCATCATCACTACTCTAGTTCAAAGAAAAAATAAATTGAAACCTACCAAACAACTTCCCCAACATTGGAGGAGATCAGGTATCGGATGAACTGTTTCATGTTGTTATAAATCGCACGTCCTTCTTCCACAGCAGCTACAATCGTGGAGAAATTATCATCTGCTAAAACCATTTCAGAAGCAGTTTTGGCCACTGCAGTACCAGAACCCATGGCAATTCCAATTTCTGCTTTCTTCAGTGCAGGAGCATCATTGACACCATCACCAGTCTAAAATAAGAATTCAGGGTTGGAAATGAATCAGTAAACAAGGTGGGTATTAACATACAGATCCAGACAGGAATTTTGCACTGGGTGTGGATCTTTAAAACTCACAAAGTGCAGGGAAACGTGGAAGCAAGTTCCAGAATGGGAAATTACTCTGAAAAGGCTTAATTGGGGTTTAAACAAAGCATCTGCCTTTCTAACCAAGTAACCATCACTCACCATGGCTGTGATCTCATCAAAAGACTGAAGGAACTCCACGATTTTGGATTTGTGGGAAGGCTCCACACGGGCAAAGCAGCGGGCATGGTGACAGGCATCTCTCTGGGCAGCAAGGGACAGCTCATCAAACTCACGGCCKGTGAAGGCTTTGGTGGACACATCTTCATCTTCCACAAAGATCCCGATGCGGCGGCAGATGGCCACGGCCGTGCCCTTGTTGTCACCAGTGATCATAATAACCCTGATGCCAGCCTGCCTGCACAGCTTTATGGATGAGGCCACTTCAATYCTCGGGGGATCCAGCATTCCCACACAGCCCACGAAGGTCAGGTTGGTCTGAAACAAGATACACCCAGTTTTAGTGTAAGATCCTGCAGCAGTGAAATAATTTGTTTTCCCTGCATATGTCGTGACATTTGGGATGATTCCTTGTCCTACCTTACCAACTTTTGCTTCAAATGCACTGATTTTATTAGTTAAAAGGTGCTCCAGTTGCCAGCCTTGCARATTCAACCTGCAAGCATTGAGTCTTTGATTTTTATCATCAGTGCCAGGAGCAGAGAGAGCACAAGCCAAAAACTCATGCAACTGTTATTATCTTCCTCCTMAATACCAGATAGAGATTTCATTGGAAAATTACAGAGCAGCTAAGATGATAATCATGGACTGAGCCCTTGCAGCTGACAGCACAGAGGCAGGGAAGTGAACCTGAGCAGGTACATTCCATCACAAAATCCCAAAAAAGGTCTTGCAGTTGAGCAACACCAAACTGAAAMCCATTAAAACTGAAACCACAGTACAATTTTTGGACTCTTTAACTGATTTCTCTTTGTGTTTTAAGCCAAGCAGCAGCAGCCTGTCTACCTGCCATCAACTTTTTCTTCTAAAACACAAAGTCCCTTCTTCTGAGCATTCCCTCCATACATGTGGGAAACTATTGTGTCTCACATCAAAAATATCCAGAAAAAGAAAATTCTCAGACGTAACTTTCTCAAGGAATAATCCAACATAAGAAGTCACCATTCTTCAGTTTGGGGAGAGAGAAGTGCTACTAATCTTACCTCATAGTTGATGAAATTTGAGGAGTCCTCCAGATTCATTTCCTCTTTTTTAGGAGGATTRTCATGGGTTGCCAGAGCCAAGCAACGCAACGTGTCCCTGCCAGTTCCCCATTCTCTAATGACAGACATTATTTTCTGCTTAATTCCCGAGGTTAAAGGTATTTTAGCATTTCCAACACGGACATGTGTACATCTGTCWATCACACCTTCAGGAGCACCCTGCAGAGGCAGAAAGGAAAAGTCATTTTGCTTATTAGCTTAAGAAATCCCTTTCTATTGCAACATTTAAATCACAAAGCCCTTCCTCCCACTTGAAGCTGCAGTGAGCTGTACCATAATTTTTAAATACAGTGCTGCCATCCCACCACCACACTCTCTCAAGTGAGGGACTGACCTTAACAAACATTTTGCTCATGGACGTGCGGCTCGGTTTGTTTGGAGTACAATAGACAGACATCGACTTTCTGTCTCTTGAGAATTCCAGAGTGAATTCTTTCTTCATGAGTTGTTTTATCACCTTATTAAAAGAACAGCATTAAAATGCATTTAGATGGGATTTACTACAGAGCTGTCTCCCCAGACAATCCCAGTAAAACGGGACTCACCGAGTTGCAGGCGTTCGCACGTTCGATTCTCGAGAGTCCCTTCAGGTCTGTGTCAAACACGTTCATTTTCTCAACCAGACACGTCAGCGCCGTCTCCGTGGCTTCACCAACCTTTTCATAAACTCCCTTAGCCTTGAGTTAACACAAAGCACACAAAAACACAGGGGTTTAAACCTCACCTGGAACCTACCAGAGACAAAAGCTCAAGTTTCACAATGGGGAAAAAAAACCAAAAAAGCTAAACAAGATTTAATGTGTCTCAAACAAGTAAAACTATTTTTAAAGAGCAGCTTTGAGGAGTTTGATTTGTAGGAATTTGAAGCTTTCACCCTCAAGAGCAGCAGAGAGAGATGTCAGTATTTTATCATCAAGCATTTAAGACTTTTTGAGACTTGGCAGCAACCAMAAGACAGCGAGGCAAAGCAAGAGAGCAGCACCAGGAGATCTCCAAATTACAGATTACACTTCTGCTGGATTTAGTTCTCAGTGTTCAACAAACAAGTAATTATCAGAATTAATAYTTTAGAGGACCTAAATACTCTCCTYCCCCCTTGTCTAGAAGGGGATTTACCACTGAAAGGTATTAACACAGACAGATGAGAACATTTATCCTCATTCCCACACTCTCCTCTGTTCCAGGACATGAACTTACTTCATTGTAATCCAAAGAGGAATCATTGCAGAGTGCACAGATCGTTGCCAGTTCCACAAGACCATCATAYTGGCTACATTTAATGAGTTTGTCATCTTTATGCCTTTCCAGAGGAAGAAAAGGGGGAGATTGAAAGTTAGTTATTTAGTATTAGCATCTCTTCTGTTCTTTATCCTCTTTCCTGCATTTCCATTTAGTACAATGCTCATTAGTCATGGACTTGGAACTACAGAAGTTGTCGAGAAGAGCAGCATTGACAAAGGGGAGTTCTGAAGTTTGCTCAGARCCATGAATGGAATGAAAATGATCATCTTTGACCACCCCTGGGTGACAAAACCTCACTTCCCCAAGGACAGTCACTCAGCAGCGTGGACAAATGCTCAGGGATGAGGCACAGGAGCTGTTTGAGCGTGTGCAGGGCTTGGAGGGGAGATCCAAGCAGGASAGGAATATCACTGGATACCCTGGAGTTTCGCTTCCTTCCCACTGCACATCTGCAGCTTCCCTGCAATGCATGAAGTGCATGCACTGGGCAGGCATTAAAGCAGATTGCACCTCTTTAACTGCTGAAAAATTGATCTGTATTACACGTGAGCCTCCTAAAGCCATGAGAAGTGAAGTCATTTCACAAGACTAATTCCACTAGAAAAGAAATGATCAATATCTCAACTCTTGAGAGAGAGGAAAAGGAAGGTACATTTTCCTGAAGGAATGCACCATTCTGACATCACCAGTAAGGAGCAACTTCTCTACTTTCACATTTGGAAAGAGTGAATCGATTCCTTTTCTGGAACATTCCCATACTTCTGCAGCAAGCACAAAAGAACCAAGACARTGTTCAATACTGTTATTTTCCCCCCAGTAAAATTAGCAAGGCAGAGCTAATACATAACATCTTTTATTAAAGCTCCCAAGGAGGGGAAGAAAAAGGTCTGATGGTGGAAAGATGTGGATCATTACTCCGTAAGAATTCACAACACAGACTATGACATGTCCCATTATGTAAGCTTTTGTTCAGTTGTGGCACTGCAAACAAATTCCAGTGTTGTGTAACACAGCACGAGAACAAAATGAATCTTGAGAAAACAAGTATGGTTTTAATGTTTCATTTTGCATGAAACATTTTGCACGAAAGCTGTGAGATGTTGCTTTACAGTCCAACTCTCAGGCTGTCACCTCGTCTATCCCACCCAAAACTTCCTGTTTTCACCTGTTCTGAACTCAAACAACACCARCATTTTGGAATATCCATAATTAGTTACACCAGAGTGTGTTTTTTATAATCCTTTTCTGTGTTCCTTATCAAAAATTTCTGAAGAACAAATGCAGAGTCTAAGGTGCTGGGATCAGTTCTGGATAAAGGAATTTTTTTTTTCTTACAGCTTCAGGTTTTTCAAATGAACTCACTTGAAGGTCAAATGCAATCTGCCAGCTTTTGCTGCAGTTCTTAATTATTGTTGGGTTTGTGCTCTCAGTTTGCAGTAAGCACTGAGTGTGCCKAGGCATGGCAAAACTACTCCAAACTTTGACAATATCTCCCAATATCCCTGGGAAAAAAAAATCAGTATGAAATTTGGGGGGCTTTTAGTAAGAAGTATTTGTGATTTTATATCCTGGATGAATCTTAGGGATGATTTAGGTATCAAATATTTTAAGAGTAAATGAAAAATTGCTGATTTAGTGCAAAACCATTTAATGGTTATGAAATTGAATCAGTTGTGGAAGACAAGAGTGTCTGAAACACCAAATAACACCTGTCAGAAATGGTTCAGGTCCTGCTATGGGGCAGTGCAATGGATTAACTGCCTCTTGACCTCCCCAAACTTTATTTTCAGTGAGTTTGCAACCTAAGGTGAACTCATTCACCTTACTTAAAATCCGTCCAAAGCCACTGCTTTAAAAGCTGTCCATAAATGCAGAAATAAAGCAGCCCTAAGGGTTGGAGCTGAGCTGTGTTTCCTTGTGCTCCACTAAGAGCCTTTCTGAGGCCATTTCCCTCTCTCAAAACCCTTTGTACACACAAAAGCATTGAGTTCAGCACACTTGTTCACATTCCCCCAACTTCAGCAAGTAAAAACAGCACATTAACAAACATTGCTGTCTGTCTCATTATCCCCCACATCTGTCACCACATTCTCTTTTATTATTCTGTTTATCTGGAGCTCGTGAGACCATCTCAAGTGCAATATTGGGAGTTTTGCAAGGTCTGGAGTCACCTTGCCTGAGCAAATGCTATCTCCTGAAATGAGAGCATAAGCTTTTGACAGCAATTAGCTTTGAAACAAAAAAGAGAACTGGGGAATTAAGATTTCCAGCTGCTGGGAACACCAGGGTCTTAACTGCTATGGAAATTAAACAGAGATAATCACTACTGAGATGGGCAAGATTGCAGGAGTCAGAGGCACACGTGTGAAACRGCACAAGGCTGAGATGTTTACAGTAACTGAAATGAAATTCTACTTCAGCCACTGCAGAATTGTATTCTGCAACTAAAACTGAATTGATAAGATTATAAAACACATGGAGGACTGACCAAGTAAAAGGAGCTGTAACAAYTCAGTAAAAAGAGGCTTTTCTTCAAGAAGCAGAGCCCTAAAAATTCCTGAAGTTGTCAGGATGAACCACTTACCTCAGTAGCAGAGACTTGCAACTGATAAAGTAAACCAAAGCTCATTCCTTTCCTAAAGGACTGGGTTTAACAGCAGCTCAAATAGCAAAGGCACAGACAAACACACACATCAACTCAAGTACAGATGCACCAATAAACTACCGAGAGCCAGGGGCTGGAATTTACAGCTGATTTAAGAGGTAACTCCAACGTATTCAGAAGATGCCTCAGAAAAAACAACTTCCCCATTGTCTGAGGCAGGGAAATTGGAAACACTGAGCTCACAGCCTAACAAATGCACACCTCTTCAGATTTACCCAGCTTTTAAATAAAAAAAGAAACCTCACTTAGAAGCACGGAGATAGGTAATCTCAGTCCAGCAAGATCTCAATAAAATAAATCCTCTCTACCCCTAATTAATTTTTAGATTATCAAGGGAAGACTGCAATACTGGAGACTGTTCAGTTTCATGAAGGTTTACTTTTCTACAGTTTATGTTTTCCTGTTAATTACTTTTCCTCCCAGCCCTTCAGTGTGCTGTCTCATTTATTAACAATCACTACTGAGTATTACAAGCATCCCTTTTTTAGATTAAGGTAATAGTAAATGCACAGACAAATATTTAACTTGAACAGAACACTTACACTTCTCCCATAGGAGCATATGTTGAGCCAGTTACAGTAAATTCGTTCAGAGAGCAGCTGTCTCCTTCTACTCTGTCCAGGATAAACATCTGAAATTAGAGAGTTAGGAGTGTTACTATCTTTGAACAATAATTAATGCAAGAGATTTAAACAGGCCTTAAGCAAGCAGGTACAAGAGGCAAGTTCAGGCTGAGCAAACAAACCATACAAAACCCRATTCTCTGCACTTCGATCCCACATATGTTTGAACAGCTCCATACTGAAGCACAAAGTACAGGTAACAGCCCTCCTGCCTGCAGATCTCACTGGAAAACTGAGAGCTGAAAACCACAGGAACKGTGGACACTTCAGCTGGGAAAACCATTCACACACCACCCGACAATCCTCAGTAGATCCAAACTCACTCTTCCTAAGCTTCACACCAGTAAATTAACTCTCATGAAACATGAATTAATTCTCTGCTTTGAAACAGTCAAAAGCAGCTCAGGGCAGCTTGGGCACTGACAACTCCTGCCAAAGTCAAAATAAAAGCATCTACAAATAGGAAAAGCTGAGATCTAAAGGGTGAGGTTTTAGCAAGAGGCAGRCTATGGCCAGTTTCTCTTAACACCAGCTTGAAAGTGTTTCCTRTCCTGGTTTTCTAGTTACAAGTCACTTTGCCACATGGGACACTGGTAGTTTAAATCATTCACCCAACTCAAGTGCTCTTTTAGCACTGGTGAAATGATATCTTCAAATCAAGGCACCAATCTGAGGGATGCAGTTTAGCTCTAAGAGACCTGCAATTCGGTTTTTCCTTTGTTTCCTTTCTAGGAGAGCTGCAGGCAGACCAGATCTGAGAAGATGGAGATAAAAACCACAGTGCCTGAAGCTGTCTTACTCTTCATGGCTTGTTGGAATGGCACTAGAGAAGATAATTTCTCTCTAATTGACAATTTCTCTCTAATCCTAATGGAACTTCTCATCCACTGGTAAGCACAGGCCATTTTGTCACATCACATTTTAGCAATGCCCTCCTCTCCCCTCRTTGAGCTGCCCTATGTTTTAGACAAGCATCCTCATAAAGTACAGCCCAATAAAATAAACTTACAATTTTTATGGGTATCAGAATTTTGCTACATTTTTGCAAACTGCAATTCATGTTCTTTTGCAACTGTCAGAGATTACCAGGGAACCAAGTAAGTTGCACTGGACAAGATCTAAACCATTTAGCCCTCTAAATAAGGAGCAGAGCRTTTTGAGCTTTTAAATAAACACAACTTTAATGATGAGTTAACCAGGAAGGCTCCTGCTTTTGGCATCTGCAAGATGAAAAAATCCCTGCAAAGACTAGGGCAGTTATGCAACTCTACTGCAAGTAACCTCCTCTGGAATACTGATGAGCAGCTGCTTTGTGTCTCTTAGGTATAAATACTACGATACTTAAGGAAGTAGAACAAGTCAACCACCAATTAGGAAGAAAAAGCCATCAATCACATGAGAATAAAGTGCTTAGGGCTTACAAACTTTCACCACTKGTGTGCAGTGCTCGACATGCACACATTTGGAATTCTAACCCACTGTAATGAGACTCTGGACACTTCATGTTGGAGTTGCTGTGCCACTGAACATCCAAAGTTATTAAACAGAAGAATTCAGTGTTTTCTCCATTAAATCCCTACAGAGAAGCACAAACTGGCAGCTGAACATACATTATGTTAAGCAACCAGCCATGAAAGCCCCAAATGAACCCAGAGTACTGGGGAGAAGGGAGGAGAGGCACAGAACTCAGGCTCACCTAAAAATACACCAACAATGAAGATGACTCTGACAATGCTGGTAACAAGAGTCAACTGCACCTCAAGCTGCCAGATTAGTCAGTGTTACACTTTGAAAACACTACAGTGATCCACATCAGACCAGCAAAGATAACCAAGATAACCAAATAAAGGTGGAACCACTCAGTAGTGAAAACACATTTGACTACCAGAGTTACTGCAGTAAATCTCCTTTTCTCATATTACGTTTCCCCACCATTGTTGTGTTTCTCAATTAAAGAGGAAAGTGTTTTACTCTGTAGAACAGGATGTGTGTTAAGTGTAACTTTCTAAAAAAAGGCATAAATCACACCAAAGAGTTACCACAACCTGAAAGGCTCACAGACAAGTCAATGGAAAGCTGCTTACCAACAACTTTCTCTTCCCTGAGTGCGGGTACAGCTATTTTTGGCCGTGACTAAATAAGGGATGAGACAAAAGCCTTCAAGACTACACAGCGGAAAACTGAATTAAATGTGGAGGTATTTTCCTTATCTTAGGGAAATAAAGCAGGATTTTGATGATATGAGAACTAAAAGAGCCGGGATCAGGAGAATTTGAGCAGTGCTGAGGAGCAAAGGAGAAGCAAAAGCAGCCAGCAGCACGTACCCTGCACACTGACATCTGGTTGGTGGTCAGGGTACCCGTCTTGTCGGAGCAGATGACAGAAGTGCAGCCCAGRGTCTCCACCGAGGGCAGGCTCCTGACAATGGCATTCTTCTTGGCCATCCTGCGYGTGCCCAGTGCCAGGCAGGTGGTGATGACAGCAGGCAGCCCCTCRGGGATGGCAGCCACAGCCAGGGCCACGGCGATTTTGAAGTAGTAGATGGCRCCGCGGATCCAGGAGCCGCCGTGCACGGGGTCGTTGAAGTGGCCGATGTTGATGATCCACACGGCGATGCAGATCAGGGAGATGACTTTGGACAGCTGCTCCCCAAACTCGTCCAGTTTCTGCTGCAGGGGGGTTCTCTCCTGCTCGGTCGCCACCATCTCGTCGCGGATTTTCCCGATTTCGGTGTTTACCCCCGTTGCAATGACCACCCCCATGGCCTTACCAGCAGCAATGTTTGTACCCTGAGGTAAAGAAAGAGAAGGGAAAACTTGGGWGTCAACCTACAAATAGGTTTTGTGGGTGAGTTTCCTTTGGTTTTAATTTAACTAAAAAAACCACCATGAAAACCCCCCAAACCAAACCATTGTGTTTCAGCCAGGATATGATAAAGGGTAAAGAGGAAGATGATGACACTGCCTGTGTCTGTAAGGAAACACTCYAGGATGGAATTTTTGCTCCCAGAACCAGCTCAAAATGAGTCAGTATTGATCTCTCTCACAAGCACAGTCAAACCTGGCTGCTGAGCAAGCAGTATGTATTTCAACTGGAATATTGAATGTGTTTTGCCTCCCTTTTTTTTTTTTTTTTTTAATTAGGACTCTATTTTGTCCAGATTTAATGTTATTTACTATGAATAAGAGATGTGTTCTCTAGGGCTCCCTGTGTGAACATATTTAACATGGAAAGGAACAGCTAAATTGAGCAGCCCACCAGCAAAAAAGTTATTTTCTTATCTGAAAGGTATCTAATGCTTCCTTTAAATAAATTTGAACAAACTGTTTCATTCCTACATRGAAAGACAGTTCTCAATTTTAGCTACATGACACCACAATTTGTGTGGGCTCTTATCACATGGAAGAACCATTACTTTAGGAAATTACTTTAGAAGCACTTTAAAAGTGTGTGTGCTCCACCCTCCAAGACTTCCTTGTGAAGGACAAAAATAATTTTYCTCATATAGACTGGTTTCATCCAGCATCTTCCCCAAGGACAGCTTTTATTAAAAGTTAATTCTAATTTTTAATGCATTTAGTTCAATGTGTAGGGAGACACACAGAGATGTGTGCAGAGAACACAGCAAAGTCATGCAGCTTTTGGGGAAGACGTGAAGTTTTGCACATTTTTATCAGCTTCAGTGTTATTTTATGAATGTTTTGAAAATCTCAGAACAACTTACAGAAAAGAGCATGTTCTTCTTGTCTTGGTTTACAGCACGAGGATCAGGCACAGGGTCAGTGTGCTTAATAACGGACACAGATTCACCTAAAATAAAGATAATAATCTTAAGAAGAGATTACGTATATGGAGTCCTGAGGGAAACAAAAAGTTATAATCTTCAGCACTGAAATTTTTACAATGTCAAACTTCTTTTGTCAGATGATTTTCATTTCATTGCTTGAGTGAAACAGGAAATATTTTGGTAGGCCAAGAAAATGGAATGTCTGACTTGTAGCAAAAATTATGCATCAGTTTCTACAAACATGTGACACAGGTACAGAAAGACTCCTTTTCTTTAAAAGCAGATGTTCATTGCTACACCAGATTCACAAGGTGGTGCTCTTAGCTTCAGCCACTGAGTTACAATACTTTGTGTAAGCTCAAGAGAGCCAAAGCTTCCCCTTTYAAAAGGATTTTCTTGAGCAGCCTCTCAGACCTCAGTCCTATTTTATCAGTCAGGAGACTCAAGCATCAACTTGGCTGCAAACAGAAAAGGCTTCCTCCAAAACAAGAATTCTGTTACTTAAATCAACGCAAGGAATAGCCCCTTTTTATAGAATTCTGGTGGGTTATTTCTACTTATTCCAACAGCTTTACAGGCATGGAGTGCGCCCATTTTCCTGTGCTAAACATAAGGAAAGCTTGATCAGTCTTGTGCTATTCAGGATCTGTGGTGAGAAACTTTGGAGCCTGTTTCAAGACGGATTCAAAGATGAAAAATAGGCTTCCTATGAATACTTGACTGTTTTAAAATTCAGAGCTAGTTAACATTAATTTATGCTACCAAAAACAGGCAGACAGATCTCCATGTTCCAGCTGAGAGAAAAAACTGTTGTAGCATGCTTGGTTGATTCCCAGCTTCTTTCCTATATTCAGAAGTGCTGCTACTTTGTTTTGTTTTCAACAAATCTGAAAAGGGATCTAAAAATAGCCCCTTCACTTGAGGGCTAGTACCAGAAAACACACGAATGTGTGTGCACAGAATTCAGCAAATAAGGCTCGAGTGTACTGAGTCTTTAGTAGCAGCACCTTAAAAGCTGCCAGTATTGCAAAAATTGTTCTCTTCTGTTGGAAAAGACTTTTAGTAAGATTTACATACTTTCATGTTTGAGTGGTGTCAAGATGTTCAAACATAGAAGACTCTGTAAATTAAAAAAGGAAATTCTTAAAGTGGTTTTTTTTTTGTTTTTTTTTTAAATTTTAGTTTCCCACAAATTACTTGTTTCTGTTGGGGGAAAGGGATGACCAAAAAAACATTACAAGACTCAGTAAGAATGTTCATCKCACTAAAGGCAACACAAAGCCAGTGATGAAGCAACACATTCAGCCACTCTAGAAGTTACCAGATCAGAAATTTACTGCACTTGAATGCAGAGAACTTCAATAGCTGCAGGCTTGTTTCTAATGGATCATTTCAAACAAAYGGTGAAAAGGCACTTTCAATTATGCACATCATTACATAAAAGTCACAGAAACTGTACCTGTGAGAATTGACTGGTCTACCCTTAGAGTTGTAGATTTGATAGAAGTAATTCTTATATCAGCAGGAACCTTGTCTCCAACTACAAAGAAATGACAAGACAAAGTCAGAATTTTGCCATTTGAGGGATTTCGAACCACGTGTCTCTTACCTCAGTCACCCAGAAAAATGACTTCCCAATGCCTGTGCAGAAGACTAAAAATACCAGCAGTTCCTTACTGCTTTTGTGATTTGCAATCTCCCTTTTTCTGAGTATCCAATACACTTTGGCAATTTAGACTTGCCCCTACCTAACCTCCAAGAAAGAAGCTGTAAATCACTGGATTGTTTTTCTAACCACATGGCCTCTTGAAAGTAAAGGGAAAACAGTCTCAAGAGCAAGATATCAATTTCAGAAGATGTATTTATAAACAATCAAAACCCGTAGCTAAGGTGAATYGAGTTCCCTTTTCAGAACAACTGGTCCTGGAGAGCCTTTCAGTTGTTTTCTCTATGCCCAAAGTGAGTCCTCTGCTCTCCAAAGATCACATTATCCTCATCTATTTATTTAGAAAACTAAAAGAAGTTGTATTTTCCTTTTCTTTGGCACCAATTGTGAGAATAACGTGCTTCTGCAAATATGCTCTTGTAATGTTATACTTTGAATTCTGCCAGATGTTTCARAGTTGGAAGTTAACTTCAGATCACACAGTAGCTTTATTTTCCAGTAATGTTGCTCTATTAAATAACCACAATCCATGTYCCAGTTACAGTTTTCACAGAACTCTGTTGTGTTTATCTTGTCATACACATTTCTACTTTGCAAAAGACAACATTAAAGAAAAAAAAAAACAATAAAACCTACAAACAACAAAACATTCACTAACAAGTGTTTGAGACACCAAGGCAGCAGATGAAAAAAGCTAACACCACTCTTAAAAATGGCAGTGATGACTCCAGTTGTCAGTTGAGTTCTAGCATCTCTACCACCTCAAAATTAGTTCTTTTACCTTCCTACTTCCTCTTACCCAGCTTTTTCTAGTCTTAAAAAAAACCCTAAAGCTCTACCATTTTGTGCCTACTGCAAATAAATGACTGCATGCAAATTAACTTGCTAAAGGATATTAATGAGGCACATTTTTGACTCACATGGAGGGGTTCTACATTCTGCATGTCAAYATTGCTAATTAACACATGATTGAGCACTCCTAATGTAATTTAGCAMTGCAAGCATTCAAGTATCAGCTATATTGTTATAAAATAATGCAAAGAAATAAAGAAGAGAGAATAACCAGCTAAAGACAGTTGATCTTTTCAGTTGGTGGAATCTGTGTCCCTGCAGTGAAATGAAAATAAGCTGCAATTCCTGCAGGAACTGCTTATGCAATCAGCAGCAATAATGCACATTAAGAAATAATATAATGAAAATTCTACATTGGTGTCACAGCCTTGGCTCATCCAACCRCTCACACCCTGGAGTGGAAAACTGTGGAACAAAACCCTGAAGAGAAGAATTAAGTGCWACTTCAAACCTTAGGAAAACTTGCACCACGTGACTTTCTGTAAATTCTGAGTAACTCCAACCACTAAAATCAGCAAAAGATTGTATAGTTTTGCCTGTAGGAGCTATAAGTGTGCTTTTGYGAGCATGTGTACCTGAAGGGACAAAAAAGCAGCCACAAATGTATCATTATACCATGTGAATACTAATTTAAGCCACAATGCCCTTGAGCAGCAAGAGAAAATAGCCCTAGACAAACGGTGACCAAGGCCAAAAAAGGCAAAACTATTCAATTGCTCTCCTGGTGTCCTGAGGAGGGWTATTTGCAGACACACAGTAGCAGCTGCTTTGCAGATATGGCTGGACAGAAAAGTCCTCAGAGAGGCCTGTCAACCTGCACAAACATCTTCAGAGCACTGCAAAGAGCTGGAAAACCACAGGCAGCCCCCATCCACCACATCTGACAACACTCTTAAAATGTGTAACAGGAAAAAGAAGCTGTTAAAAAACTAATCTTGAAACTTTCAAGCAATGGGAAGGAACATATGGCAAAGTTTACAAGTGATTTTCGAACCTACTTCTGAACTGCTCCAAGTTGTTCAAACTCAAACATAATATTCACAAGACCTAAAATACTTGGAGACACCCCTCTAASAGATTATTGATATTTAACATCAATATTTCCATGAAAACTACTACTGTTGTTATCAAGTGCCTGAATCACCAGAACTGAAGTGGTAAATTTATGATGACAGCGCAACTTTATAAATTTATCTCAACCATTTAAGATAAGACACATTATTCACTCGCCCTSCCTGAGAAGGATGTAGTAAAATATTCAAGGCATTTCCAAGAGGCAGGAAAGATGTACATCAGGGTCAATTACAGAGATATTTTAAACAGCTCTTTGCAAAATAACAACTATGACACTAAGTCATTTATAGTCTTGAATTTGCTTTCAGGAGCACAACTGAAAYTGAATACAAATAGGAAATCATCCTATGATAGAGAGGAACCACAGGAAACWTCCAGTGAGCAGTGTACTACCTATCTCATCTACAAAGAGAAGGCTTTTTTAACATATACTTTACAACAGGAAAAAAACTGGGGGATTGATGCTGTTTTTTGGAAGGCTTTTTAAAATTCATATATTGCAGTCCACAGAAAGAATAAAAGTAAAACCCAAGGCTTTTAAGAAATGAGAAAGTGATTATGTAGTTGTGTTGCTCAGTACAGAGCTGCTACAGTAAATGATCTAATTCCATAGTCTGACAGCTAAAATAACAAGTCAGCTGCAGAAATATTTTCATCTATTATTTCAACCGAAGTTTTTAATCCTAAATAGTCACTTGATTTCCACAACAGCTCTGAAGAAATCAAATAAGCTGCTTTCAAAACTGCCCAGGTACGTGTTCTGAAACATAATGTAGCCAAGTACATAACTACTGATTAAAACAGCCCCACTAACTAAAGCACTGACTGCTGCTTGGAGGAGTCAGAGAATGGTTTGGTTTGAATCATTCCAGCTTTACCCACAGAATCCTTCTATTTATGCAYAGAATTTTAGAATTTTAATACTGAGCTTCAGCACACAATAAATGAATCTGTTTAAAAACAACCTGGTCCCTACAGGGGGTTAAAAAAGATAAATATCCATTTTATTTAACTGTGCAGGAGTCTACACTAAAACAGACAATTTACAATTTCCACTCCTTGGCAGAAACTGGAGCGGTATTTTGTTGCAATATGAATTTAAAGTTTATGTCGGTTGCTTTAAAGAAGCCACATTTTTTCACTGAAAAWAAGGATAATTTAGTCCTTGAACACACTTGGTTCTGCAGCCACCTAGCCAGCAGTGTTACCTGCCAAGATTCCCAATGATTACACCCAACACCACGGCCTTTCTTCTCAAGTTCAAAGCTCCMCAGCCCTTATCTTCCTGCTCCCAGCTCTGGGGCAGTGTTACAGGTCAAGTTCCCTCTATGTGAACACTCATTGACATATATATTTGATTTTTACACAGTCCAACCCTGCTTCTCAAAAGACTTGTCCCAAATCGACTTCAAGTACAGAATAYATTAAGCAATTTAATTTAATACTTGGCAAATTTAATGCTTGGCACTGATCAAGTCCTACAGTGAATGATCAACTCATTACCTGTGTGTTTCCTTTGAGCACTGATATCCCTTTYAATACTTCACCAGTTTCCAGCATAGCAATAAAACTGAATATTCAATTTCAGAATTCTGTCAGACAATGGTTTGAGACRCTCACTGGGGCACCTCTACAGCCAAAACACAATATTAATGTTGCAGGATGTGGCAGTGTGTGCTTTGAGCAGCCAGGAAGATGGACAGAAATTATGGGGCACAAATTCTATCAAGAATGAAGGTGGAGAGAAAATAACTATTAAAGCTGTGTGGATTGCAGTCCCTTGTATTTTTAGTTACTTCTGGGCACTAACAAAGAACCTGAGACTACAACAGGGCCACACTCATCTTTCAAGTCTCAAATTATTAGATTATATCCCAATATAGTCAGYTGAGATCCATATTCCAGATCTAATCAAAACTGCTGATGACAGGGAGCAACATTAACTGTACCCCCAAAAGCCACCGTGATACAGAACAGTCCTCAGAGSAAAAGCACAGCTTTAAATGTGTACTTTGAACACCAATATCAGCTCTGTTAACTCTGACCCCTCACACCCCTGGASACTTGCTCAGAGATTTACAGGCAGCTACACCATAAAAAGTGAAGAGTTTTCCTTCTTTTTTTATGTTAATGTGTTACAAGAACAATTATTCTTAGCAAAGAAAATGATCTGTTTGCAAAAGCTCGTTGTGATCACAGCAAATGAAAGCAATTCTTCCTGCAGAAGTCAGAAGGGCTGCTCATATACAAAATGTACCTCACACTTTGTTATTTATGTTCATTATTAACCAAAGTCAGTGTCGCCCTGGATCTGCTATCAGCAGGCTGGGGGTTGGAAGAGAACTTTTACAATAAAGGTTATCAGTACAGCTCCAATTATCCTATAGCTGAACAGTTTGTGAACACAAACAGTTCCTGAAAYGGAGTAAAAGCATCCCCAAACCAATTTCCATACACCACCAAATGGAGAGAACAACAAAAAAAGTGCCTTAATATATTACGGCTCATTGATGACAAGTTCATGTATTCTGATTTTTAAGACACTATGGGCTTTCTCCTGCTTTATTAGGATGCTCTAATTTTAGCAGAAATTCCATCAAATTCAACAGGTATAACCCACCACACTGCTATTAAAACAACTGATTCAAAATACATGSGGTTTTACCATCAAAAGAGGAAAAGACTAAGTATTAATTTTTTTGCCAAAACACATGAAGCATTAGCAACTATTTTCCAGTTTAACATGACATTGCTGGTACAGTTATTTAAAAACCACTTTTCCTAGTGAGATTGTTTAGTCTCTTAAAGRGTCAGTTTTTTCAGCCCCCTTTCTTACCCAAAAGTAAGTTTATACCTTAAATTAGAGGACACACCATTGCATGAGTATTCACTAATAAACTGAAGCAACTGAAACTTCCTACAARAAGGAAAGAATTGAAGAATTCAGC